AGCCTTGGATGCCTTTCGGTCCCCACCCCTTCCCCCTAGCCTGGCTTGGTGGACAGGTGCTGTCTGTCTGCGATGCGAAGGTAAACGCATTTGCCACCCCCCATTCGATAGTGCAGTGCCCGCGAATTGCGTTCTGAGGATACTCGCTCTGACGTGGCATGCCCTTCGATCTCAAATAGACCTATCGATGTCGAGCAGTCCATGTCGGTGCCCCTAGACCAAGAGAGATGCGGTCTTGGATGGCTCCCATGTCCCCATGCAGTCTCAATGGCTGTCTATGTGTTCGTTTCAGACCCTGCTGGCAGACACTAAGTTACTGGATAGCCTCTGCCACAATTGATTTGTTCTGACGACATACATGCTTGTCATCATTCCGTGTGCATGGGCGGGTGAACATGGGTCCAGGCCTTGCAATGATCCACAGCTGCAGAGTTGACGCTCTCGACTGTATTGCCTCTTTGGAGCCTGCTGCGATGAAGCTTACTCGGTCTGAGTGGACAAGGAGAGGTGAGAATATTGATATCCTGCGTAGTCTTTTGTATGGAGTAAGACGAGGGCAGTCAACGTGTCGACGGCATTTTCTTGATCTGGCAAGCATATTTTGATGTAGAATACCCGGTGAGTCTTATAGTGGAAGTACCAAGTTCAACTATATCTTGGTATGTCATGTCAAGCGCTTCAATCAAATGTGCAAGCAATCCTACCTACTGGTTTGAAAACGGGACCTCAAATACCATCTACAACAGTATGTAGAATGATATACCTCGATGGGTGACAAGTAGAGCTACTATGCTGGCTTGGAGGGAACTTCACGATACTTCATGCCAAATGCATCAGTGGTCTACCTCATTCCTGTATATCTATAGCGATTACCTTCACCATAACATGTTCTCACATCGCTACCACAACACAAGTAAGCTTCATCACTAGAATCTCACATAGACACTACATCAAGCTTAGATACCTTACATCAAGACTAATTTCTCCATCATCCCCCTCAAATATTGTACAAGAGCGCTAGTAACCATGCCCCAACTCCGGCACCGCGAGCGATGCACGTGACCCGAAGACGCCGGTGGAACCTCCGCGGGCCGCGCTAAAAATCCATATCCCAAAAATTTCCCCAAAGGGCCGCCAGGGAAAAAAAAGTCTCGACTCCGGCTCATCAACCTCACCTCCACCTTTCAATCAGAAATCCCACACGGTCCATGTCCGGAATGATTGCTTAAGCGGTCGGGCTCTACAATCTGAGCCGGGCAGATTCTCTTTACTATATCATCAACGAGAGAAGGGAAATTTCTACGTCTTCCTAAAAATCTGCTGCGACCCCCCTTCCCCATTTGATCGGAAATCTGGAACACGAAAGAAACACCCTGTCGCAGGCTTTACACACGAATCGCGAAGAAAAGAACACGCATATTGAGAACGAGACCTTTTGCAACTGCCAAAAAAAAAAGAATCCGAAGAGAACTCGCGGACGAGAGAAGATAAATCGCAATCATGGATATTCATCGGTGTCGTTTCGTCCCCTACAACCCGCAAGCGATCAATGCGCTCGCCTTCTCGCATCCCCCCTCCGCCGAGCTCGCTGGCCGGGGTGTGCCGACGCTGCGACTGGCGATCGGACGCGCCAACGGGGACATCGAGATCTGGAACCCGCTGCGCGGCGCCTGGTTCCAGGAGACGGTGCTGCGGGGCGGCAAGGACCGGAGCATCGAAGGCCTGGTGTGGACGCAGGACCCCCAGGAGCCCGGGCCGGAGGGCACTAAGCTGCCGGGCAAGCTGCGTCTGTTCAGCATCGGGTACTCGACCGCGGTGACGGAGTGGGATCTGGAGCAAGGGCGGCCGCTGCGCCACTCGAGCGGCAACTACGGCGAGATTTGGTGTCTGGCGGCGCAGCCGCGCTGGCAGCCCTCGTCGCGGAAGGGGGCCAGCAGCGGCCCCGCTGAGGGCGAGTATACGGGCCAGCACCTGGCGGCCGGCTGCGCGGACGGGTCGATCGTGATCCTGTCCACCGCCGAGGGGGAGCTCCAGTTTCTGCGGCTGATGCGCCCCTCGACCAAGCGGTCGCGCGTGCTCAGCGTTACCTTCCAGAACCGGAACACGATCGTCGCCGGGTATGCGGACAGCTCGATCCGGTTGTTCGATATCCGCAACGGCCAGCTGCTGCGCACGATCTCGCTCGGCAAGGGCCCCGCCGGCGGGACGAAGGAGCTGCTCGTCTGGTCCGTCAAGTGTCTCCCGGATGGGACGATCGTGTCGGGCGATTCGGCGGGTGAGATCCGCTTCTGGGATGCGAAGAACTACGCCATGATCCAGCGGATCCAGGGCCATCTGGCGGATACGTTGGACGTCGCAGTGAGCGCGAATGGAGATACCGTTGTCAGTGGTGGTGCCGACCAGCGGACGGTCGTCTATCGGAAGAAGGATGGGGAGAAGAACGACAAGAGGGCTCGCTGGGTGGAGGTCATGCATCGTCGCTACCATACGCATGATGTCAAGACCTTTGCTGTCTATGAGACGAGAGATATCAGTGTCGTCGTGTCTGGAGGTAGGCTTTTTCCCCTTCCATCGCCTGTTCGCTATATATCTCGGTTGGCTAACATTGAGCAACAGGACCCGACGCTGCCCCCGTTGTCCTTCCCCTGCGAGAGTTCGGCAAGGAACACCACAGAAAATTGTCCAGCTTACCTCAAATACCTCAGCTTGCTTCGTCCCCTTCGTCCCGACTGGTTATGAGCTTCTGGGATCGCGAGGTCAGCATCTGGCGCATGCTGCGTGGTCCCGTGTCGCATGAGATCCCTGACGGACAAAGGCATCGCTTAGTTGGCAAGGTTCTGATCCAGGTACGAACGAAGATCTTCTGTTCATGCGTTCTGGTTTTATGTGTCTAACAGCATGGCAGGGCGAAGAGAACATCACCTCGGCCATGCTATCCGCGGATGGGAAGCTTCTGGTCGTGGCTACCAACTCTACTATCAAGGTATTCGCCGTGCGTCGACGCAAGGGTGACGAGAAGGGCACTCTCCGAGTCCAGAAATTGGATGTGCCCCAAGTGCTTGCAGAGGATGGAGCCCGCGTGGTGACCGTGTCCCCCGACAGCCGGTGGATCTGTATCGTTCGCCCCAACAGCGCTCTCTACCTTGCCCGAATTCAACCCGCTCCTACCGCCCAAGAAAAGCCCCAGATCCTGCCCCAGCTTGTCAAGCTCAATCGGGCTTCGCGCCACCTTCGCTTTGAGAAAGCCTCTCACGGTACCCTCGGTGAATACGAGCGAACGGTCCGCTGTGTTGTGTTCTCCCACGACAGCAACGTCGTCGCCTCGGGCGATCTTTCCGGCTGTGTCGACACCTGGGTGCTGGAGCAAGCCGGCGAGGCGGCCTCGAAGAAGAAGCCCAGCGCTGGATCCGACGACGAGGATTCGGACGACGAAGACGAGTCGCCCGTCATCGCAGGCGAGCGGTGGAAGTATGCGGCCGCCGAGTCACCGATCCCGCGTCTCAAATCGGGTGTTGTCCTCCTCTCGTTCCGGCCGGCCAACCTCGCTAAGACCAGACTTCTGACCAACGGCGACGCCGACAACAAGACGAAGAGCGGCGGCAGCGAAACCCGGCTCATGGCCCTGACGAGCGAACACCAGCTCGTCGAGTTCGACGCCGCGGAGGGGAAGCTCTCCGACTGGTCGCGCCGCAACCCGAAGGCCTTCCTCCCTGCCGAGTTCCGGGGCGTCAAGGACCGCGCCATGGGCTGCGTGTGGGATCTGTCCAAGACCCGGGAACGGCTCTGGCTCTACGGCACCTCCTGGCTCTGGATGTTCGATCTCAACCAGGACTTCCCTTCTCCCGAGGAACTCACCGCCGCCGCCGACATCCCTGCCATCACGAACACCTCCAACAACAACAACACGACCTCCACCCCGAACAAGAACAACACCAAGAACCAAAATACCCAACTCGCCACAACGAACAACAACAACAACACCACTCAAAAACGCAAACGTGACCCCACCGAAGATGATTCGACCGCCGCCCGCACCACCAAGAAACCCAACAGCGGTGCCGGAGACCGCATGTCCCTGGCCCAATCCGACATCTTCTTCGGCACCCAGATGCACAGAATCGTTGGCAACGATGACAGCAACGCCGAGATCATCTCTTTAGAACGGGTTTCATCCCGGCCGCGTGGCGATAACAACAACGAGGACGAGGACGAGGACGAGGAAGACGACGAGGAGCGCACCGCCCGGAACGAAGTCGCGTTGGCGCGACTCCGCCGCGAGCGCCAGGCCATCGAGACCAGCACCCCGATGAAGCGCGTCTCGCTCGGCGGTCGACAGGACAAGCTGCTGGCCGCCAACGCGGCCCAGGATGTGGTCGACTCGCCTTCCGCCCCGAGCAAACAGATCGTCTTGGCCTCCGGCAGCGCGGAGGACGGATCCGCCATCAGCAAGACCCTCCCCGCGCGTCGTTGGTGGCATACCTACAAGTACCGTGATCTGCTGGGTATCGTGCCCCTGGGGAGCGGTAGTACCTACCACGCCGGTAGCGGGGATGCGCTTTCGTCATCGGAAGAGGAGGAGAACGAGGACGCGGGAGAAGGGTTCCTCGAGGTTGCCGTGGTGGAGCGGCCGATGTGGGATGTGGATTTGCCCGGTCGGTATCTGAGAGATTATGAGTGAGAGGGTGTTTGCCGGAGTGAAGTTGGATATGATCAGAAAGAGATTGGGGGTGTAGAGAGGAACAGAGTGAGGCAGTATTGTCTATAGGCTCCGGCGCAGAAACAGTTCAGAAATTAAGTCGTTTACTTTCCCATCACTACCACTTTTCCGAAATTCTCAATCTTATTGGTTTTTTTTATTTGCTCTTGGTCCGCTATCAGTGCTCATTGCATTGCTGACTGTAGCTTGTATGTAGGGTATGACTGCTAAGCCAGCTAACTCTAACTTGGATTTACGAGTCACTACAAATGCCTGCAATCGGATTGGGAGATGCTTTTGCTCACACGGCATGTTTAGATCCAACACGAGAGAGCTCAGTTGCTATTTCCTTCAGAGTCGGGGTGAGAAAGGAGCTCGGTGACGAGAAGTCTTTTTTCTTGCAGAAAGCTATCCGACAACCCTTTGCATGTAGGCATCCGAAGCGGACTCGGAACTCCGAGAGATGAGTTACCAAAAAGGACTGGCCTGGGACTGGTAACCGGTGTGCTACTCGCAAGGAGGAGTCTGAGTGGGTTCATCAACCATCACAGGAGGTTACGAATCTCCGACGTCTCAAGATGAGATACGGAGTAGACGGTGAAACATGGGTCTTATTCTTACAATGACAGTAACGACACCTTACCCCTGATTTGGCTCTGCATCCGCTCACTTCTAATGAAACAGAGGGTCATACAGTCTCAAGCCTCTGTCTGTATTAACATCTCATGCCTGGTGGTATAGGAGGTTGTCTCAAGGTTGGGTAGGAGACTTGCCCCTGGGACTGCACAGGATGCACTGATGACAAAGCACGCAACAGCACCACAGTTATGTACACAAGAACACAGACCTACCTAAGCAGCACAAGAGCATGACGCATCTAGCCTGACCAGGCCACCATGGTGTCTGCCTTCAAGCAGCATGCCGCTAACCGATGCCTTGCCTCGACGAAGAAAAAAAAGGTACCTACGTACGCATCGTCATCACGATTATCCATGATTCGAGTGCATCTCCCAGAAACGAACCAACCAATCCACCCAAACCGTGCAGCCTCACTCTCCGCCTGGCAATGCCTGTCTAGCCCTTTTGGAGCCTAGCCTGGAGACGAGCTGAAGTGGCAGCCGCAGCCCCGATGACTCAGGAATTAGATAATCCCGTCTTTCATCCGGCAATGGGGAAACAACTGGCACTTGCTTGCTACGCAGATACAGTACTCCATACAGACAGTTGCGCAGGGGACCTGTCTTTCTTTCTTTCCCAAGTAGAAAAGTCCACAGGGCCACTGCACCTACTGCATCTCCCGTCCAGCATCAGGGAGCTGTGATACGTCCCTGCCGCAATCTTGGTCAATGATATTCCAGCCCCGGAGCACGGTTTGCTCCCCTCCTATCTGGCGGTGTTCCGTCCTTGGAGCACATGTAACTAGTTCGTTCGGTGGTCACCACTTACGCGGACAAAGATACGTTCCTTTCGATTTAGTAGAACAGTACTCAGCTCTAAGCCCGGTGCAAGCAGTGAGACCTCCGTCTTGTCTCGGACCAAAGCGTGGGCATGGCGTCTGTCAAGATAGCGGTGAGAGCACCAAGGGAAGGGCCGGAGGGCATGGGATCATCTGATATCGAGTACGTAGTGCTGTATAGAAGGCATGGCTACTAGGTACGAACTAGGACGAATAGAGCCCGGGGCTTTTCTTAGTCCCCTCCCATGACACAGAGTACGTACTCCAAGTTCATCCATCGTGACTCGCGTTACTAGAGAGTATTAGACAATGTAAAGCTGTATGTACCGTACAGCACCTAGTGTAGGTATGTCTTGGTGTCTATGGCTGGACCCGGTTAGGTTTTTGGGGCCTATTTTAGGTACAGAACAGCTCCAGAACGATGGGGGCGGGTGATGCGGAGCTTGCTAGCTTGAGCTGCTGAGCTAACTAGCTGACTGGCTGGCTTAACCTATCTTTTCAGGGCTGGTGGCTAAGTACTCCGTACCGTACGGATTATGGTTTTCTTGTATGATAGCCACAGTAACTAAGTCTAGTGACTGCAAGGTAAGGTGGTACAGGTACATACACCGTACGCTACACCGCAGAAACGGCCAGCCCGTTGGAAAAAAGTAGCATTAACATTCGATTTGCACCGGACCTTCCAGTATTCCAGTACCCGAAGTAGCCCGTTTGGGAAGACGACTGAATAATGAGATGGTCGCTGGAGGTCCGAAACTATGAGTCCGAGCAGGTGATAATCGCGCAAACTATGGAAAGCTAGAATGGGCGCACGGCTGCCGGCCCTGGTTGGTATCCGGGGGGAAAAGGCCCGCGGCAATTAGATGGGAACAGCATCACTATTGTCAATTGTGTCTGAGAGATGGGAAGGGACGGCACGGCGATCCCTTCACCGTCACTCGGGAAGCACCGGCCGCGGGGATGGCGATAAGGATGATGATTCTGATGATGATGCGATGTGAAGCTGGCCAGACCAGGTAGGTATCCGGAAGGCGGTGCTGCTATTTTGGTCGGGATGGGGATTCTGACTAACCGGCCAGTTGCTCTGCTACTGTCCATTCGGTCATGTGATCGAGTGAAGTAAGAGGCTGTAATTAGCTGTAATTGACGGCTTGGATACGACCCCAGCCCCAATCACACTGTCTCGTTGTCTGTTCTATACGGTCATCTGCTGGGGTTGGTCGCCCTCCCGTGATCATGACCGGCAAGGCGAGACTCAGACGGACCAGACACAGCATCCACACGGTGGTCCAGTTCATCATCACCTTATCTGGTATGCTCGATACGAAAGGACCTGTTGGATAGCAGACTGTCTCAGCCGCCATCCGCGCCACAGCATTCAGCAGAAGGGGTCAGTTACGGAGTATGTCCAACTCAGAATCAGGCGGTGCTCAGTTTGGGGTCTCAGGAGAACACAAGTGTGGCTGGTGCCCGGGCAAAAAGGCTCACTCTCACTCTCACTTACACCTGGGCTATGCTAAGGTTGGCTGTCGAACCCAATGGGTCGGTCCCTGAAACCGCCCTTTCGCCGGGTGCTTCAAGTGACGAATCATCCCATCCGGTTTGCTGCCTCGTCCCCATTCAGGCTCGGTTTGCCCCTGGCAGCCCGAGCAGGCAGCACAGTGGAGCCTGGCCGCTTCGATGGGGATTCCAGACATTCGATGCTCTGTTGGTAGGTTTCGCATCATGACGTCTGAATTGGGAACTGGGGATCGACCATGCTTCGTAGAGCATAGTACATACATACAGCATGGATGGAGCAGGCCAGGCGGGCCCGGAGCTTCTTCCTACTAGTCGCTCTGCAAGATGACCGATCTTCCCTTTCTTCCTGGGTTCGTATGAGTAAAACCCGGGGGAAACGATGCGAGATTCGATTGGGATCCGTTTTTGGCATTGCTCCAGGCCCCCAGTCCAGATTGGTGTCTGTCTATTTCCCGATCACTTAACTTATACTTCTTTCTGCTACCGTGGGGGGGGGAAACATACAAAAGGCCCCCATCGTCCTGCCTTTCATCCGTTGTGTTTCAACCAAATACTACAGCTATTCACTACAACTACAACAAACTAAATCGCTTCTGAGTTTCTCTTCTCTCTATCTCTCATCCTTCATTACCTTGCGACCTCTCTACCTTCTGCGCCTCATCCTCCTGGTTGTTGTGCCTTGCTCAGCCACAGATCAACCAGTGTTCATATAACTCCCACCTTTGCCTATCCTTCCACTTCAACCCTACACTTCTCATACTATCCACTCCGTTCCCTCCATTTACTTCACCTACTTCAACCAAACTCAGTCCCTTGTACAATTCCAATCAATCCAACAAAATGCCTCACAAAGTCAGCGACTCGACCTCCTCTCTGTCCAGCAGTGGCAGCAGCGGGAACGGGGTGGTTGTGACGGACATGCGAGGTATGTGTGGATCTTATCTCCGTTGCAACCCTTGTCCCATCGTCCTCATGATTCGCGAACTAACCACAAACCCCCCGAACTAGGCTCGCATGCTGGTCCCCGTCGAACCCAAGCTCCCGTCATTATCCACAACCAGGGAGGACAAATCTACGATGAGACGAGACCTTCCGACTGGGATAAGCAAAGGTGGAAGTGAAAGTATTCCTTCCTGTGCCCCGGGACCAAAGAACAGCCTCCAATCCCTCCGAAGCGCAACTGCTGGGCAGTTAGCTTCTGGAGGGTTAGGCAATTTGTCGCCGGGGTCGCGGGTTATCCGCGCGGCTTCAATCTCCTACAAAAGTGAGGCGGACCGATCGACGGGCGTCTGTTTCGTTCTCGACCGGCAAATCGACGGATGATGCGATGCTTACTCTCGCCATGCACCTATGGTCCCCCTTTGCCCTTGACCATGGTGCATTGAGTCTGTCGCCTTCGATCGCATCGCCGTTGTTCATGCCGTCCGTTCACTTTGGAATTGTTGTTCCGGATGATCGCCTGCATGTTTCGATATTTTTTTATGTGGTTGTTACTGTACTGTACATTACCTGTGCCATATCTCGGGGTTCTTGTGTTTTCTTCCAGAACATCGCTTGCGAGGGGATTGCCCGGGTGCGACCCTTGCCTGTCAGCACCGAGGACTAGGGCTATCTTCCCTAGGCCGTATGCCCGTGGCTACCTCGACAACTTGTTCTTCATTCCTTTTCGCTGCTCTTTTTGTTCTCTGTTTTGGCGTTGGGAGTTTCCTACCAGGTCTCAAGGAGTTGTGTTCTGATTATACCACCTCACGCCGCATCATGTCATGTCATGTCACTCCTTTATTTGCTCGCTTCTGCATTTTTGTCGAAGCACGAATGCCGCAACTGCCTGCACTACGTGCATTACTCATGACAGTCTGCGATTGTCGAGGTGCAGCAGCAGCAGCAGCAACAACAACAACAACAACAACAGCGCTGGTCGCACACAACCAACACAACCCACCTACGATGTACTATACCTGTTCTGTCTGACATGACGGGATGCTGTCAATCACTGTTAACCTGGTCACCAGACTATGTTTCGATGTGGGGATGGAACTGTATCATATGCTGATTTCGGGTTGTGATATTACTTACCTGTATTGTACTACTTTCTACAATATGAACTTTCCGCAAAGATGAGCAAGTCTATGCTAGTCGCGAAGTAACTTGTAGGAAGACTGACTCGAGTATTCAACAAAACCCTCACTCTGTTGCCATCAGTGCCCTCCTCTCCTCTCTCTTTCTCTCTCCCCAATTCCCCTTTCACACTTAAGTCGACCAACTTCCCACGAGTTCAAAACGAAACCCCTAAGGTCTTATGTACCACAAATGAAGCTCTACCATTGGCAGGAGAGCCAAGCAGTCACAGCTGAGACCGTAAGCACGAACTCCCAACCGTCGAACTACTAACAGAAACTACGAATCAAGCTAAGCGGCGGGGGTCAAAATGTGTGGCTCGATCAACCGCAGCGAAACTAGAGATGTCATTTTCATAGGCTACACCTTTTAGGGAAAGCCCGTTAGAACAAGGGTAAGGAGGATCCAAGCTGCTCCTAGGGCTTACATCCCCATCCCCATCCACCCCCACAGCTAGATACATAAACCCATCAGAACATCCCATATCCCCTCCACTACCGACCAGCCACCACTACATCTTCCTTTCTCATACTCCTGGGCTCCAACCTTCAACCCCCCGAATCTACCATATCCTATACATCCACCCATCCAACCCAACAGTACATACCCCGAGAAAATGCCCCCAACAATAGCCTTCCTCCCCGGCGCCTGGCTCACGCCCACCTTCTACACCCCCTTCCTCCACACGCTAACCACCACCACCGCCCTTCCCACCACGCACATCCCCTACCCATCCCTCGACCCAGACAACCCCGGCACCGCCGACTGCCACACCGACACCGCCGCCATCCGCGCACATCTGCAGACCCTAATCGAATCCGAAGGCCGCGAGGTCATCCTCGTGATGCACTCGTACGCCGGGATGCCGGGCGCCGCGGCGGCCCACGGGCTAAGCCAATCCGCTCGCCAGCGGGCCGGCCAACCCGGCGGCGTGGTGGGGATGATCTTCCTCGCGGCGTTCCTCGTGCCCGAGGGGGTGAGTTGTGCCGGGTTGCAGGGCGGGAGACTGCCGGGGTGGATTCTGTTGGATACGGTATGTATGCATGCGCTCCCTGCCCTCCCTTAATAACCATGTTGTTATGCCAATGGGGGAAAAACAAAGGAGGGGGAAGGGATCGGTGAGAGGGACCGTACCTTGAATGCTGATAATGAAACTGGGACAAAGCCCGCTCCGCAGCTCAATTACCCCGACGATCCGATCGGGAACTTCCTTCCGGAGGGGGAGGGGGAGGGGGATGATGAAGCTGCGCTGTCGGGCGGCGATCTCGAGACGTTCCTCCGCCCACATGCGACGCGGGCGTTTACGTCGCCGCAGCCGGCGCCGGCGTGGGCCGAGGCAGACGCAGGGTTCCTGGCGTTCATCGTCACCGCCGCGGATCGCGCAATCCCTAGAGAGGCGCAGTATGCGATGATGGCGGCGACGGGGCGCGAGTTTGCGGTCCGCGAGATGGAGTGTGGTCATTGTGCGCCGTTTATCGGGGCGCACCGCATTGGGGAGACGGTGCGTTTGGTTGGGGAGTTGGTTCGGGCGTTTTTGTCGGGGTCTAGTCTCGCGGTGCCTTGAGTGGAAGTGGAGTGGTCTATGACACTTGGTTGCGTGGGTATGGGGAGAAGCCCGGGGGTTATGGAGGGGGGGGTTTGTACAGTGCAGATTGCTCGGGTTGATGTTGGGGTTGGGGTAGGGATAGGGGTTGTGGAGGTGCTTTTTGGTGTACTCCTACCTGGAGGATTGGATGTATGATCCTGTTTATACTTGGGTATTCTAGGAGATGGAGAGATACGGTGTTGATTCTCGGGAGCGGTTGGACCTGAATTCTCCGGCTCTTGGGTTCTAGTCTCTTGCTGCATGGAGATCGCATTTGATCTGTCGAGAAGGAGAGGTCGTGGATAAGAAGATTCACACGGAGAGGGATGTGTATGTAGTATATCGATGACGTGGAGCTGCACTCCTGATATACTCCGTGGCTGATGACGAACTACACCCGTTATGAGCATTAGATCGTTTCGTTGGATAGCATCCTTGCTAGATCCATACTAGCAAGCCTATAGATCACAGCTGGCCTGATGACGGTGGTGGTCTTTCCGGATGAGGTGTACGTCTACGTATGGTGCAGGCCGTGCACTTTTTACTCTGGAGATACTATCCCCCCGGGTGTGCATACCATGTACAAGAGATCAGATCAGGAATACTGAGGTATCTCCTGCATTACCTCACCAGACACATCATAAACGTTCCCCCCCGAACGGTGGATCAGTTCGATTCTAGATCGACCAAACAAACTATCGTACATGTACCTACACATCACAACCCACGCCTAGCTAAACGACATCGACCCCAAGAAGTCCGTCGCATTCAGACTCACAGGCAACTCGGGCTGCACCACCTCCACCTCTTCCTCTTCCTCGAATTCCTCTTCCCCCTCCCCACCGCCCAACAACCCCACATGTGCCATATAGCCCACCAGCGCCGCCACCCCGCCCACAACGGCCGCCACGGACAACCACACATCCTTCTTGTACCCCGTGACATACTCCGCCAACGCCGTGCGCTCCTCGCCGGAGAGATCCGCCTCCTGGGACTGCGCGATCTCGCGCATGCGGGTGTTGGCGCGATACTCCCGCCAGATGGGCGTCGCGTCCGCCACGGTGTTCCACAGGGTGTTGCCCACCGTCACCCAGCGGGGGCGCTCGGGCTGCCGCCACGGTAGACTGGCCAGCCCGGCCTCGCGCTGCATGCGCCGCACCCACTCCACCGCCCGCGGCGCCTTCTGCCGCATCGCCTCCCCGAGCCACGCATCCTGCAGACTTTCCGACCCCAGCGCCGCGAGGCTCCCGTACCCGAGCAGAAGACAGTCGACGCTCGTGGGGCGGTCTCCGCCGAGCAGATAATCTTTTTGGGGCGGCAGCATCGCCGCGAGGGGCTCGAAGGCCGCCGCCGTGACCGCCTCCATGCGGAAGCGGTGGCTCGGGACCAGGCCCGCGGTCGTGGGGGCGGGCGCGGTGGCTTTGAGGAGTGGGAGGGAGGCCGGGAGGCGGCCCGCGGCGACGGCGGCCGAGTGCTCGCGCTTGCGGTCCTCCTCCAGGGCGACGAGGTCCAGCGACGAGAGGCCGAGGTGGTCGGAGGCGCGCTTGGCGGCGGCGCGGATCTGCGGGGGGATGAGCCAGGTCGACGGCCAGGTGAGGATCTGCGACGAGTAGGCGGGGAGGACGGAGGTGTAGTAGTTCTGGCTGGTGACGTAGAGGGAGAGGGCGAGGAGAGGCGGGAATTGCGTGTCGAGGAATGAGGTGAATCTAATCCGTTGATTCAGTACGGAGATTTCGGTGAAGGAGGGGGGGGGGATGGGATCAAACATACGCGATACTGTCCGCGCGATCTAGTCCGGTCAACTCGGCATCCAGATCCCAATCGCCCGAGGAGTATTGGCGGAGGTAGTCGACTATGTTGCGGAAGCGGGAGACCCAGGTGTTGCCGTTTCGCAGGGCCGGGAGTTCGTCTATTTGCCACAAGCTATGTTTAGTGATGTTTTTACGAGAATCTTCGGGACTTGGGGGGAAGTCCGGACGACTCACTTGTTGGAGACACCGAGGGATCGCTACTTGCGACGAGCACCCACGCGTCCTTGGGCAGGGCGAGAGACAGATAGGCAATGGTCGCCAAACATTGCGCATCGATGGACGGCAGGGAGAATGCCGGCCCCCAAACATGGAGTTCCAACACCATCGTGTCTTTCAGAGGCTTCACGCGCGTGCCGATGGATCGTCCGGACAAGCTGTTGTGGTGCTGGTGCAAAGGTGCATCGGACTGGTTGATCGCGGCCGATCACGTGCAGAATTCCATATCCTGCCCGATCTCCGGCCTCTGGCCTCAGGCATCGATGAGTTGTCGGGTGGGGCTGCAGATGTATGCCTGAGGCGGCTACTCGCGAGATAGACACCTGCAGAGCTGCCGTGCTCCATCTACTCGTCACCACTAACTTCTCTCAATCACCCAAAGCGATCCACGCGGTGAAATTGTCACGAAGTGAAGTAGAGGGGGAAGGAGGGGCTACATGATCAGCCTCGACTACCACCTCAAGTAGATTAAGTACGGTTTCAATATGGCGTTATCGGGGCCTCTCTTCCATAGTCCCGTCCCTATGATAAACCCGACGAGACCACGAAACAGGAGACCGGTGTTCAGATCATTGACCAAATGAAATGAGCGATTTTAGTCAATTCAATCTCCTTCAACGGCCCGTGCCTCGCCTCACCCTTCCAAAGGCAACCAGGCTGCAGAGATTCGGTAATCGAAGCCCACGACGCGAGCACCTCATCTCCCTTCTCTTGGCGCAAGCCTGGTAGAACTTATCGATAAAGTCGCCATCGGAGGAGGGGGGGAAGGGGGGCGGGCGTTTGAAGGGACGATCGGATGATAAGGATAAGCACCCAACCCATCACAAGATAGCCCACTCATCTACCGATACGACTATGACAATCCCGACTCTCTTCCCAGGCGATCAATGCCACGGACAAGAAATATTACATAGTAGTAAGTAAGGAGTAAGTTCACTTAGTGAACAGTAGTACAGTACAAGAGACCTGGAGATTGATTCCTGCTGTAGCAGTGCAAATCATCCTGCATGGCATGGTAGGAAATTGCAACGAACCACCCACACTTCCTGAATCGACGAGCCGCAGGGCAACAACGCATCCACGCAGTGGCGCTTGTTTTTAGTTCGGAGCGCTTAAGAGGGAAGAAGAGGGAGGAGATCGGGTAGAGAGAGAAAGAGAGCGAACGTGATGTGAGAGGAGGGATTGATTTCCGGCTTTTTTTTGCTCTCCTCACATCCCATTTTCCAAATACCCTAATCTACAAGGTAGTCAACATCCAGGGACTCCCGATCAAGGAAAACTCAATTTCCATTCCCGTCCATACATTGGCGCACATGGCAAATGGCATGATATCGTTTTGCAATGGAGTAGAAGTGCGGGTAAGAGTGGAACGTGCCTGGACCGCAATATGTTCAAGGAGGGTGTGGGAGAGAGTAAGTGGATTGAAGGGAGACTGTGTGCAAGAAGGGGGGAAGGGAAAGAACTCTACTAGGAGTCTAGTACAGTCCAAAGTGGCGTTAATCCGAATCAGGTACCCTCCCTCCTCTAGGCTCAGGTCCCCGCGTTCAAGTGCCAGGGTCAGGATTCAGGTCGGGTCAGTTGACCTGCGATCGGACTTGCCGGGCTAGGCACCATTTCGACTTAGTATGGTGTCGTGGACGTGGACGTGGACGACTTGAGGAGAGAATCAAATAGGTTAGGGTAGAAGATTCCCCAGTCAAAAACAAGGACACAGGACGTTATAACAACGGTTCAACCAGTTGGCATCCCTTCCACCCCCCGCCTCTTGTTGCTCGCAACCAAGGAAATGGAGTAAACTTGCTTCAGGGCATGGGTCTGGAAGGAAGTAGATGCTGCCTGCCATCTGAAGCTGAGTAACAGCCTTGTGGCAGTGACTGTAGCTTATCATGATTACATCGTCAGGTTGCCCTATTCAGATCATCCACGGCTCTCGGACCCATGCCATACATATGCATGCCAATAAATAGTGCATGTGGGTTAGATTAGCTCACCAGACGTTTTGGATGTCACGAGTGACTCGGTTCAGTATCGATTATAGTAATAATCAACATAAGTATTATGACCATAAACCGGAACAAGTACCTACTAGTAGTAATTCTCAGCCTGATGAACAGCTCCCCCGTACCCCTTCCCACGGACCGTCATCGTATCAGGAGCGCCCAAGGCACGCCACCTCGGGAGAGCTAGGGAGGGGATGGAGATGTTTGCCTGCGCGACCATTGAATCTGGGACTCCGCCATGGGAAGTAAAACGAAAAACAGAAAAAAAAAAAAAGGTACAGTTCCAAGTTGCCCTCAAAGCTTCCGATAAGGCCCCAACCCAAACTGTCACCCAGTCAGGATCATGATTTCGTAATGGTGATCATAATCATCACCCATCGTCATCAGCGGGCTCGGTCGTTGAGTCATAACTCCGCTTTTGGCGGGTTTCAGATCGTCGCTTGTAAAGCGGGGGAATCGATAGAAAGGAAGGGAAGTTGGTTCGGTGATGTTGGCTGCTTTCCTCAGCGATGGTATCATGATCCCTGTCCGTCGATCCTCAATCAACGAAAGGGAACAGCCCGCTGTCTCGCAGTTACCACATGACCAATGAGACTGTGCCGTCTTACAATGCGGGATTTACACTGGTTACAACCGGACGTCAAGGAGCCAAAAGTAGTAAGAAGTATGGTTAATCTCATTAGCGATGTCAAATCGCGCGCGCAGTAAGATGCGATATGCTGGTGGGTATATTAAGTCTATTATACATGCACGTGGAATCAAAGATGAAAAAAAGCTCAGACCCTCCGAAAGACGAAGATAAGGAATCAAGATGATGCAAGAGGATTGGGTCGAATGAGAAAAGAACAAAAAGAAAAAAAGAAAAAAAAAAAACCTCCCCGATGATTAAATGTAGGCTGAGATGCAAAGTGATCCATCCGCCAATAGCAATGCATGATGGTGAACATCACCACACGGATCAGCGCATTGACATCAACAGTTGTTGCGTGCGAGGAGGGGTCAGTCCCG